TTATTAATGGACTACCCAAAAAAGTTGTAACTTCAAGAGACCATCATTAGAGAGCAGCTCTGCCCAACAGAACGTTCTGTGAAAATTGAAATTTTCTATATCTGTTCTTAGCAATATTGTAGCCACCAGTCACATGTGGCTGTTGAGCCCTTGAAATGTTCCTAGTGCCACTAACTACATTTTTAATGTTAATTAAATTAATCTAAACTTAAATCACCAGATTTGGCTAGAGATTACCTTATTGGACAGTGTAACTCTAGAGAATCAATAAAATTAGTAAAATAATTCTATAAATAGGCAATAGGTGGAATTCAATTTTTTTTTTCTTGGCATTTTATGGTCTGGAACCAGTAACAGATTTTCATACTTCTTACATTTTTTTTAATTGAAATTTTCTTCAGTGCCTAGCACATGAAAGAGTCAATAAATGACTGGATGCTATTAGATTCCCTCTCACCTCCACCCCAGGTCTCCCCAACTCATGGATCCTGGGTAAGGTTGCTTAAAAATTTGCTCTGAAGATTGCCAGACCCATAGATCCACCCTTCACCACTATTCTGGTCTTTCTGGGAATATAGAACTAGGCGGTGTCTCTCTTACTGAGTGCTGCTGTCTGTCCCATGCTTCCGTCCTCAGCACTTTCTCAGCCGTGTCTGTGGCTTCCAGACTTTAAGCTTTTATTTCACTCTGGTCCAAGCCAAGCGACTCCCAAATGCCTCCTGCAAGGCCCAAACTCCCCTAGATCCCTTAGATATCTGTGGCCATCTGGGCCACTCTACAGCATGCTGATCTGACCTTGTTCAGGGCCCCGTGTTCAGCAATGGCTTCTAAAATGGGCATCACCAAATTGGAATGTGAGCCACAAGAGGGGTCTGGATCATGCCATGTGACAGTTGAAGGGCCTGAGAATGCATCACTTAGACGATGTCACTATATACTTTTTTTAAACATACATTTATTTGTATTGTGCTAGGCACTGTACTAAGCACATTTAATTCTCATAACAACCACGTGTCCTATTCTTTACACATTTTAGAAGTGCACTTGGGCTCAGAAAAGTTAAGTGACTTTCTCCAAGACACAGCTAGGAAGTGGCAGACCTGTGATTCCTGTTTACACTCTGGTTCTTGAGCTTGCATTCTTAACTACAATGCAATTCTTTACAGCAGAGGGAGAGTTCTTTCAAATCGGTGCAGAAGGCAAATCTAAAAGGAACTGGATTTTAGGTGACTATAAAGAAGGGTTTTTTTTTTCTTTTAATAATTCAAGCTCTTCACCACCAAACATCTCACTCTGTGAAGTACAATGTGCCCCTCATTAGCAGCTCGTAAGCCTGGACTCACTGCTGGCAGATCAGGAATGTGGTAAAAAGCATTCTCCAATAAGTGGGAGCTTGTGAGCAGTAGATGAGTTCTGTGGGCCTTTCCATTTCAAATTTCTTCTGAATATAATTTCCTCTCTTGAGGACATTTATTGTCAATTTATTCCCATGTCATGTTTTTTATTTTCCAGGGTATTCACAAAGACCGTTCTTTTTCTGTGTAAAACCAGAATGCAATTTTTCCATCACTAAAATTGGCATAAGCAGGGGTTATGCCAATTTTACATTTTACAATTTTACATTCTCTCTGTAGGGGTTCCCATATAGGAACACAAATCATGTTTCAAAGAGGAATAGAGAATGGCCTGGGTCATGGAAACTGAAAGATGATTGCTAAAGGTTTTTTGAGCACTTGCCAGACTTTGTTTAATTTTGTGAGATATTAATGATCAGTGAGATGACAGGCAGGAGAGGAAGAAGAAAATGTCTTTAGACTCCAAGTTACACAATGAGCTCTTCAATAATTGAGAGTGTGCTATTACTATTTTAATACAACCCTTAGTATTGTAATATGCCCCTTAATTACTTCTGATAATGCTTCATATGTGCCTTTATTTTCCAGATGTTAACTAACATTTTGATTTTGTTACAAACACATTTTCTGTTTTAAGAGAAAAGGCACTGAATATACTAAAGTTCAAATTTTCATATTTGTTGGTATCTTCAAAAACTATGTTGAGTTTCTCTAATTAGTGTATAAGCATGATTGGACATTTCCTTGAAGATAACTTTATGGAAAACTAGGGATTAAGAGAGCTTTTTTCTCCCCTATGAACATTCAGTATTTGCTTTGGGAGAAAATAATCAATAAATATTTTCTTTCTGCTCATCCTACCTTCCTCCTGAACTACTCCCTGTTCTGCCACCCCCACTCAACCATCTCCATTCTCTCCCCAAATCACACAATTTGTGCCAGTGATTGGAAGAGAGTACATACATAATCCAAGGAGGCATAACATATACAGTTGCTTCCATGGAGATGCAAATTATGATTATGGAGAAAATTTTCATTCTTGAAGTGATTATCACACCTGATGGGCTTTAGAGAGGAAATAATATATAAAGATGTGACACATAGTTGAAAATTGGGCTAGAAAGAACTGGAAGGATTTAATGACAAGAACAGGTGGGATCTATATGTTAGAAGATGAGGAAGACTGAGAAATTAAGTCAAGACTTCTCAGCTGGGGGTCTAGAAGGAAGGTTCCATGTGAAGTACAGGTCTTGAAGAAGGTTAGTAGATTACTAGACGAGGAAAAGAACACAAGCAAGAAACATAAGCAAAGTAGTGAAGCAAAGATGTTTGGGGAGTGCTGAGCAGTTTAATTTATAGCAGAGTTCAAGAAGGGGAGAAATCAAAGTTGAGGAAGAAAAGCAAGTTTGGGGTTACATTGTGAAAACCCTTTATTATCAGAGTACTTAAGGGAAGAGGGTATCTCAAGAGGTTGGTATTTTTCATTAATGCTGACACACGTGTACATACTGTCTCTCCCCGACAAGGTAAGGTGCTGGGCCACGTTTATTTTGATGTATAGCACTAACATTATTACAGATATCTTAGATTTCTGTAACATATTTGTTGTTGACTTTGTATAAATTGCTGTGGTTATATAGCTCCATCTGTATTTTGTGTATATCGTTTCTATAAGTTGAGTTGGTTTAAGACTATATTTGCTCAAAGACGATTTTTTTAAAAAAGCCTTTCTGGACATTTCAATTTGAGCAAATAATTAACATGTGGCCAAATCAGGACTTACTCTTCAAGTACTAATTCATCCATGGAATCTTGGAATTTCATGGCCTGCAGCAATCATTTCCCCCTTTTCCTTCTCCTTTATTTTACAGATGTGGAAACCAGGTGCATCCCAAAGTCACACAACCAGTTACTGGCAATGCCAAGACTAAAACTGAGTTCTCTGGTATCTTTCTACCATACATCCCTTCTTATCTGAAATAAGTGACCAACAAAAACAAAACATAAAGGCCAATATACATTTACAATTTAAAAAATTAATTTCACAGACCGCATCAAAATAGATCCATCAATTGTTTAATTCAGGTACAGTGGTTATACTTTTATTTGTTCACAGCATTACATTAGCAGGCATGCAAAGTTTCTAATAAATCATTTACTGTTATTACAAGTGTTGCACCCCAATTTTTCCTAACAAAAGTTAACCTGTGGCAGTACTGGGAACAGAAGGACACTCTTCATAATAAGAACATTTCCTTTCCTCCATATGGCTACTTTATTTTAATTTGTAATTGAGCCTTTAGCAATTTGGTCTCTGGACTAGGCTGGAGAATCAGGGCTCTAAGCACTTGGAGGCCCATAAATAGTCCTACATGATATTCACAGCACATCCTATGTAGAGGTATTTTCCAAGCTAAAATATAATTAAACTCACTAACAATTAGAGCAAGCATCCTGTATTATTAGCATGCACTCAGGGCTCTGCTGCACGTGAACTTGGGTGTGTAGTTGTAATTAAAGGACTTTCTTTAGAGAAGTGGCTGGTTTATTTCCATCACCCCAGCAAAAGGCACACCAGTGGGCATGTGGCATATGCTCAAGACTAGCGGAAGGAATGAACACTTCAGGCTTCCAAGGGATGGCAGTCCACCTACAAAATGAGTGTTTCTATATTCTAACCAGTATTAATTTTTTTAAAAATTTATTTAAAAAAAATTTTTAAAAATGTGACATAGTTGATTGCGCATATGTTTTCTTTTAGGAGTTTTATAGTTTCAGGTCTTCTGTTTAATCCATTTTGAGTTGATTTTGATATATGGCAAGAGGTATGGGTATAGTTTCATTCTTCTATGTATGGATGTCCAGTATTCCCAGCACCTTTATTGAAAAGACAGTATTCTCCCCAGTGTATGTTCTTGGTGTCTTTGTCAAACATCAGTTGACTGTAAGTATGTGGACTGATTTCTGAGTTCTCTATTCTATTCCATTGGTCTGAGTGTCTGTTTTTATGCCAGTACCATGCTGTTTTGGTTACTATAGCTTTGTAGCATAATTTGAAGTCAAGTAGTGTTATGCCTCTGGCTTTATTTTCTTTTGCTCAGGATTAAGTTGGCTATTCAGGGTCTTTTGTTGTCCCATATGAATGTTAGGTTGTTTTTTCTATTTCTGTGAGGAATGTCACTGGTATTTTGATGGTTAATTCTTCTGATCCAAGAACATAAATGTCTTTCCATCTTTTTGCATACTCCTCAAGTTCTTTCAGTAGTGATTTGTAGTTCTCCTTTTTGAGATCTTTCACCTCCTTGGTTAACTTTATTCCCAGGTACTTTATTATTTTTGTGACTACTGTAAACAAGCTAGCTTTCTGAAACCACCAAAGGAGGAAGATGGAGCATAAATCTGTGTAGTGGCTACTCACTTGGGAGGCCTTATTTTTTTCCTATCCTTTGTCCCCCCCACTGATCCCTGCCAGACCGCAGGCCCCAGACTCCCCTGTGAAGCCCAGAGTCAGGAGAGGCAGGACAGTGGGGAACTGAAAAGCCACGGAACCAGAGGCGGAGGGAGCAGCGCGGACAGGGAAGAGGAAGAGCGAGGGACCGGCAGGCCTAGCTCCGAGGAGGCGGCGGCGGCGGCGGCGGCGGCGGCTGCAGCATGGAGCCGCTGCGGGTCCTGGAGCTGTACAGCGGCATCGGCGGCATGCACCAGGCGCTGAGAGGTGAGAGCGGACACAGCGCTTCTCCTTTTCTTCGCTCCCGGGCGCTGTTCCGGGAACCGGCGCCTGGGAGGGGCGGAATGGCGAGACGCTAGGGGCGGGGTCTGGGGAGGGCGCTCGGTTGTCCTGGAAACCGCCCCAGTGCCCCGCCCCAGTCTGGCCCTTCGGCGGTGACTCCCCTTCCCCGGGCCTGGCTTTTGTCCGAAGGGCTCGCGCGCCGCCTCTAAAGACTGAGTTTGTGACAAGCCGGGATTCTGCAAAGTCAAACTTAAGTGGTACACACAGCGCCCCTGGCCTGGTGCCACGCCCCAGTTCTAAGTGCCCGGTCACCTGGAGCTGGGAGACTCCGGCCTTCACCCTGGAGGAAGTCACAGCGGGGGAGGGGCGGGAGCGGAGCAGGGCTGGCCGGACAGAGGTGGACCTTGACAGAGTCACAACAATTCAGGGGGCAAGGTAGCGAGTGCTGAATAGGACTGCAGAGGAAGCATGAGGAGAAACCTAGTTCTCATCGTTGGAAAGAAACATCATGTCTTCTGTAGTTCTACGTTTAGGTGACAGAGATCAATCTTTGTTGCTGTGTGACATTGGGCTAGTCCCTTAACATTTTTGGACCTGTTTCCTGGTTTTAAAGTGTGAAATGTATGCTTTTAGAGAAGAGTTACAGTGTATGATGAAGATTAAGGATAAGGCGTGTGAAGTGTTGAAGTATTTATTAGTGCCAGATGCACTGTAGCCACTCAAAATATTTTAAATTATTATTTTCACTATTACTTTCTATGTACCTCCCTCATTTTGAGATTTTTAATTTCTTTGGTGTTAAGTTGGAACTGAAAGTTTTATTTTTGATGATATTTATTCAAAAATATTATTGAGCTCCTATTCTGTACCAGGTACTTTGCGGGCACTGGGGATGTGGAGTGACGAATAGACTTTGAAGTGCATGTTTATTCTTAAATTACCATGACAACCACAAAACTGAAACTTCCCTGCTTCCTTTTTTAGTACCAAGGGTAAAAGAGACTAACAATATAAGATTACAGACAATGTTTAATGGGTTGAGCATATTAAGTTTTCTGAGCAGATGAATAGAGTTTTGATTCTAGACTAGTTTAGTGAATATTAATTTTTACTACTTAATTATTTCCTGGCTTTTTATGTTCAATTCTCATATTAAAGCTTATCAGCATGAAAACAAAGCAAAACTCTAGTACTGTCTGCTCTCTCAGTTAATTTTGTATGTCAGCATTTTGCAGTATCTTGAAACCCCTTAATAAACATTTTAAAGACTGCCTAGCACTTTATCATAAGTTGTAATTCAGCCACTCCTTAAATGTTGAATAAGTACAATATGCTACAACTTCATCTTTGAGCATAAATCTTGATTTTCTCTTTAAGCATGTTTTCAAATTAATACATTCAACAATAAGACTCACTTTGTGCTAGTTACTAAGTGAAAAACTATGATAATTTTCTCATGCTTTTGATAGATGATATAGCAAACTGCTTTTCAGAGGTTTTTGAGTGCCTTCCTCACCTACGTATTCACAAGGATTATATATGAGTATTACTTGTTTTTAAGCTTTGCTAATTTGAGAGGGGAAATTATGTAATTTTAATTTTTTTGTTTGTTTAATGAATAGATCAATATTTTCTCTCCTATTAGCCAGTGCAACCTGAATTTGTATGCATTTTTCTGTTGTCACTGCTACTGTCCTGAATCTAAGCTACTATGATCTCTAACTTAAATTATTAAAATAAGTTTCCCAACTGCTCTCCTTGCTTCCACTTTGCCTTCCTTTCTCCACTCATTCTCCACATAGCAAGCAGAATGATCTTTTGCACAGTAAACCAGATCATGTCACTTCCCTGCTGAAATGGCTTCCCTTTGAGATTACTTACAATCACAGTCCCATCTTCTCCCCAGGCCCGTTTCTGAGAGCTGGCCGGCTTCTCTCTTCCTCTTCAGTCTCATCTGCCATTTTTTCCCTGGTTCTTTTGTCCAGACTCACTAGTCTTTCTGTCTGTTCCTCAAACCCTCCATATGTTTTGGCCTGTGTTTTTGCTGTTGTCTCCATCCAGAGTGCTCTGACCCCAGACTTTTCCACTCCAGCTTCTTTTCACCTTTTGTATCTTAGTTCTTATGTGGCCACTTTAGAGAGGCCTTCCCTGGCTACCCTTTGTGATCCAAAGAAGCCTTGCTGCCTTCCCTACCTCTCTGCTCTTTCATCTTTTGGTTTGAGGTCTACATATTAGGGATATTGACTCTTAATCATATTGATGCAAATGTTTTTTCACACTTGTTTATCTTCCAATGTTCGTTTACTTGAGGTACCAAAGTTTTAAATTTATCTGTAATAAAATTCATTGCTCCTTTCCATGAGGTTTTTATATGATAATAAAGACAAATAACAACTGCAGCTAATTTCAACATTTATTAAGGACCTTCCAAATGTGAGAAACATGTCCTAAGTTTGTAATAAGCTAGTTAGTGGTAGAACTAATATTCTAACCTGGGTCTGTCTACCTGATTTTTTAACCATGCTATGTTGCCATTGTTCTGATTAGATGTACTAACTTACTTTGATCTACTAATTAAATAATAATAAGAAAAAGCACAAAGGAAATAATACTGAACAATTTTGACTGATTTCTAGATAAGATTTATAATGGAATTTTTTTATTATGGTAAGATATATACATAACATAGAACACACCATTTTAACTGTTGTTAATTGTACAATTCAGTAGCATTGAGTACATTCACAGTGTTGGATAATCATCACCATTATCAGTTTCCAAAACTGTTTCATCATCCCAAACTCTGTACCCATTAAACACAAAAACTCCCCATCACCTCTTCCCCCAGTCCCTGATAACCTGTGTTCTACTTTGTCTCTATGAATTTGTCTGTTATGGATACTTCATATAAATGGAATTATGCAATATTTGTCTTTTTGTGTCTGGCTTATTTCACTCAGTATAATGTTTTCAAGGTACATCCATGGTATAGCATGTATCAGTACCTTATTCCTTTTTATGGCTGAATAATATTCCATTGTGTGTATGTACACTTTTATTTATCCATTCATCTGTTGGTAGACACATGGGTTGTTTCAGCCTATTGACTATTGTGAATAGCGCTGCTTTGAATATTGATATAGAAGTATCTGTTTGAGTCCTTGCTTTCAATTCTTTTGGGTGTATGCGTAGGAGTGGAACTGCTGGATCGTATGATAATTCTGTTAAACTCTTTGAGAAACCACCAAACTGTTTTCCATAGCAGCTCACAATTTTACATTCCCATCAATAATGCATGAGGGTTCCATTTTCTCCATCTCTACAAGTTACTTCCTTTATTCCATTATTTTTATAATAGCCATCCTAATATGGTATGAAATGATATCCTGTTGTAATTTTGACTTGCATTTCCTTAACCAAAGATGTTGAACACATTTTCATGTGCTATTGGTTATTTACATATCTTCTGTTTTTTTGAGATATGTCTATTCAAGTCCTTTGCCTATTTTGAATATATTTTTTTTTATTGTTGAGTTGTAGGAGTTCTTTATATATTCTGGATATTAATCCCTTATCAGCTATATGATTTGCAAATATTTTTTTCCCACATTACTGAATTTTAACAGTTATAGAAAAGTCTACTTGATTTCTTTAGCAACATGATAGATTTGCCTCAAACCCAACGAACATTTTAATACCTCAATAAAATTTTTTTATTCTTATTAGTAAATGAAATATGCTACTGCATTGTTGTAGTTGCTATATAGGCTCTTCTATATTTTCTAAATTTCATTTAACTTTATTTTACATGCCCATGTATTTACATAGTCTACATCCTATGCTATTCCTCTTTGTTCTTGTACAGCCTGTAGCACAGTACCATACTTGTGACAGGTTCTCTGTAGATGACTGTTGAATTTATTATTGCATTGCTAATCATTCTACCATCATTTTGATAAAAATATAGTTTGCTTAGCCTGAATTCTTTCTTTTTGTAGTATACATAGTTCTTAGTTACAAACCACAAAACCCACTCTCTAGCTTACATAAGAAAAAAATATATCAAAGGACATTTGGAAGCTCACAGAATCTACAAGACATTCAACAAACAAGTTAGGTCAACAGGAGCATTGCTCAAATGGCACTCTGAGGATTGCTTCAGTGAAGCTTTATGCTGACATCACAGCATGCACCAACAATGCTGGTTTGATCCACAATTCTGGATGCCAGAAATGCCGTCATAGTTTTCCTCTGAAAGGTGGATGCCTCTACCAACTTCCTCACCAAAAAGAAGAATTTTCTCATTTGTTTCCTTGCATTACTGCTTCTGAATTGAAGTCTTAATTGAATGCAATTGGGTGCTGGGTACTAGATTCCATTGCCAGACAAAGAGAGCTGGGAAAGTGAGTTCTGACTTCTATTTTGAGAAGGAAGTACCCATAATGTAGCAGAATTTTCAAATATAGGAAACAGGCAAAGATTGTAGATGGCCACAAGCATAACAATGTGTATTACATTATTTAATGCATGTTGCCCCTGTGAAGAAACTATGCATGCTTTGATAGTATTTATGCCTGTATAGTCTATAGAGTTTTTGCCAATGAAAATCTTCCAAGTAAAAATATCTCAGTAAGCAGTGGAAGAAGTAGGGCCATGGGTTATATATCAGTGGAGCCTGCAAGGACACCTGCAAATATAAGCAAATACGATTCTTCATTTTTCTCATTTTAAAATGTAATAGAAGAGTGAAATGTGGTTTAAGGAGGCTAATGAAGGAAAGTTCTAGCTGGATGACTGTTTTCTATATAATCAAGTATTGGAGACAACTTTTAAATCAAAAAGACCTGGCGTACCAAATAATTTCCAAAGGTCTTCCAAGGTGTTGGTTTTGACTTTCAGCCACATAATACTGAATCATATTTAGTGAGAATTATGCAGCCTTAATATTTTCTATTAAAATGTTAAGCCTCTTGTCACTCATTAAT